ATTTCGCTCTTTGGAAGATGGAAGGAGTATTGCCCAGCGGAACAAGATGTGGGATGTAATAATTTTCTGCTTATCAGAAGAGAGGAGGATTACAGAAGTATCTGGGCAGAACTGCTAAGTGGAAAATGAGGACAGTTTGAATTCTTGAACTACTATTCAGCAAATGCCTTCAGTCTTGCATCAGCACAAAGTAACTTTAAAGGGTAAAAGCATTACTGGATGAAATACTGGTGTAGGGGGGGTGGGGGGGAAGTATTCTTTCTGAAATTAAATAAACTATCTACGAATGTTAAACCTCTCTTCTTGGCTGATGGCTGGGACCTGTGGAACAAACTGGTCCTCGTTCTAACAGTTCAGCTCACACTTCTCTGCTGCGTGAGGAAAATGAGGTTCTGAGCACCTTGGGAAAATATGATCTGCTCTGTGCATGTCTCAAAGAATGTGTGGTCATGGGCTTTCATGGTTATCCTTACGAAGGAAAATGGGAAACGGAGTTGATTGCAAAGTAGACATTTTTTGAAAAACCTCTGCTGAAATGAATCTGCTAGAGGACACCTGCCAGCTTGAAACTGTATTGCCTGGATCTCTACCTCATGCTCTGACCTTTGGGTTTCTAGGAATAGTAATGCACTTGGCTTTATCATGACCTCTTCTTCTGAAGACTTACTAGCTTTACTGCCCAATAACTGCTACCAATGACAAAGGTAATCACGGATTGGAAAAGTACCAGCATTGTTCTTGCCTGTGCATGGGTCTGTGTGGTTTCTTTTCCTGTAGGTGAGTCACCACTTTGAGGGGCCCAGCACAGATACGGCCTTGACTGGGATATGCTGGCGAGAAATACCGGATGGGTGCTGTTTCTTTCTTGGTCTAACACTCTGAATTTCTTTGTTTAACCAAAGAGATTTGGGAATGGGTGCCATGTCAGACACACTACAATAATTATCAGTACCCAACTTTCCACAAGATAACCATGTTGGGCAAGCTCTCCAGATTTTTCTCCATTTTCATGAAGAGAAACAAGGAATATCAGGCAGAATGCGTTCAGGCCTTGTCTTGCATCATGAATAGTGACTTCATTGCGCTCTGCTAGGCCATGGCAGAGCTGGTCGATGCTGCTCTGCTAAAAGCCACTGGAACTTCCAGCATTAACCGCGAGCAGAATGAAAGAATCCAAAACAAGCCAGGACTGGATTATAACCCTGCGATCAACCAAGCTGATAAGTGCGAAACCAGGCGCACAGTTCTCAGGGATTATGAAGATCTGATTAAAGTTGCTTGAGGACGTGGAAAGAGGGAGAACAAAGTGGACACTCCACGTACTCCAAATGCCATTCTATCGAGAATTCTGGGTAGAAATGCCATCTGAAATCCAGGAAGAGAACTCTCTGATGGAGCAAATAGGAGCAAATATTCCCTGGGCTGCATGTAAAATATACAATAAATTCTATGTATATAAGTTACAAAGCATTTTAAATGTAGTTTTTCTTGAAACATAAAATTGAGAGCAACAAGAACATACAACTAGTCGGATGTTTGACCTTGTTTTGTGAATCTCAGTCTGGTGTGAAAATCAGGCTGGCTCGAGGGCAGTGGCTGCCATTCATCGTGAGTTGTCTAGGTGTTCGTCAGAGATTTTTGATGAAATATTATTTTTCCTGTGCTTCATCCTTGACAATAATTGTTCACAAATGCACACACTGCCAAAAAATGATGACATGAATAAGATGTGACTGTGAATCGAGGGATATTTTTCTCTGGTAAAATATGGCTTATGAATGTCTTGTATAGAGACACAACCAAAGTTTTTCTTTCAGTTGAATGTCTGACTGCAACGCCATAGATTTCATGTGAAAAAATTGCTAGTAATAAATTTGATTGAAAACAAATTCACAAGTATACTCAAATAGGATAATATTTTGTTCTAAATTTTGAAACCAGTTCTCATATTTCTTTATCAAAATGAAAGCAGGGCTGCATATTTTCCATGGTTTACAGCACTGTCTTTAGCCAATGTATCAAAATGCATGAAATCATCTGTCATAACGTGAGCCTGCCACAATTTACTTTTCATTTCAAATGCTGTTATTGTCTGAAACATAGCACAGATGAAAGGGATTTCCACCCCAGGGACGCACCTTTAACTCATTTAAATGAGCAGCCAAATCCAACAAAAATGCTAAATCTGTGAGCCGTTTTTGATCTTCACGTTCTGGCACAATTTTTCCTCTTGATCACAGAAGGATTTGTTTTCACTTTGCAAATCATCACGTTTTTTCAGCACTTTACCTCGACTTAGCCACCTTCCTTCAGAAAAGGAAATGATGGCCTCACAATCACCACGCATACTTTTAAGGAACTCTTCAAACTAACAATAATACAGACCCTTGGATTTGTGAAATTCACAGCTTGGATGACCATTTGTACAATGGCATCTATTCTTAGAGCTTTTGCACAGAAATTTACTTGCTGTCTAGTCACTGAATCATAGAATGGCTTGGGTTGGAAGGGACCTCAAGGATTATTAGGTTCCACTCCCTAGCCACATGTAGGGCTGCCAGCGGCTACATCAAGATTGCCCAGAGACCCCTCCAACCTGGCCTTCATCACCTCCAGGGACGAGGCATCCTCAACTTCTCTGGCCAACCTGTTCCTTCACCACTCTCTCAGTAAAGAACTTCTCCCTGACATCTAATCTGAATCTCCCTCCTTTTTGTTTAAAACCTTTCCCCTCTGGTCCTATCGCTATTTACCCATACAAAAAGTTGATTTCCCTCATGTTCATAAACTCTCTTTGAAATCTGGAAGGCCACAATCAGGTCTTCTTGTAGTCTTCTCTTTTCCAGGCTAGTTCCTTCAGCAAGGAACCTTCAACAAGCCCAGTTCCTTCAGCCTATCTACATAGGAGACGTGCTCCAACATAGGAGAGGCGCTGATGCAGTGGTAGTTCATCAAACATTGAGATACTGGTGGCAACTGCATCATCTTCTATTAATTCTATAAGTCCCTTTTTTGTACCATCCCTGGGACACCACCAGTAGCTCTACCAGACGTTTTGACAAAGGTGAAAGAAAACTGCTCTAATGCACTTTTTTCACTGTTTCATAGAAATCAATCTGTGCCTTTCAATGGCACCAAAGAAGCAATTTCTTCATTGGCATTATATTTGTCATCAATACCTCTAAGGAAAATGACAAACTGAGCTGTGTCTGTAGCACTAGCACTTTCATCTATCGTCAAAGTGTAAAATTTGAAATTAGCAGCTTCACTCTCCAATTTTTTTTGATAGGTTTTCCGGTTTCTTCAGTTCACCTGGCTACAGTCAGGTGAGACAAACTGATTTTAGAAAAATCCCTTGTTTTATCAGGACACATTGTATCGGCCCTGCTTTTCCCACATTGCTTAACAAACTCGCCATCAGATTTGCTATGCCGTAAGAAGATTTTATAACAGAGTCTATTTGAGTATTCACTTATTTTTAAATATTTTCTTGAGGTGACAGACGTTGACTCAGTTCCAATATTTTGTCTTTACAATGCATTCCTCGACATGCATCAAATGCACGTTTCTGCAAAGGTATTCTGAAATTGTCCTTTTTGAAAACTGACGTGACTTCCTTGCAAAAGAACCACAGTGCCATATTATTATTTGTCAGCACTGCACAGCACCCACCTTGCGTTACGGGGCAAGGCCAGGCTGCTCAGCAGGGCAGAGCTGACACCATGATGATGCAGCAGCAGGGCACAGGATGCAGGATGGACATGCCTGCTGAAGCCTGTACCAATAAACTGGAAGAATTACAAGCGAAAAGAACAATTCACAAGAAGAAAGTTGCTCCTCTTAAGATCGCAAAAACACCAAGGATACACTTTGACTTCTGAACTTAACCACACGTGCTTTGCATGAACTTCAGCAGCAACGTTTACCGTGTGCCTCACTTCCTGTTCTGTGAAGTGCAGGAATATTACCTGTGGCAAAGGGAACAACTTCATTCTGTTGCCCCAGGTATCTCTCACCATCCACCTGCACCAGCACTTAGGGACACCAGGCTCTGGCAGGCCAAAACAGACAACGGTGGGACAGAGGCACAGGCCCTGCCTTCACCTGAGTCTTCCAGCTGTGAGTGCGGCAGCACAGGATGGCTCTATGAGAAATTCCATGCCATACCTAGGGCTCCGCTTGGATGAATTTTTGTGGGGCAACCTCCGGCTTTAATAACGCCAAGTCATAGGGCAAAGTGCCACTAACTCAAACAGGCAGTAACCAACTGGGAGAAGTCTATAAGTGTTGCAAATCACAATCAAAATGTATGCAAACAACTGGGCCGAGCGGCAAGGCCCTGCACAAGCACAAACCAAACCAGAGAACAGCAACACTCATTATGATGTGAGTAATATTATGACTCTCCTTATGATAAAGAAATGGACTGGGAGTCAAAGTTTATGGGGTGTCCACAGCAATTACTTCTGCTGGCAATTACTTCCATAATTCTAGAATGATTTCAGCTTGCACATTAGATAACACAGCAGTGTTGCTCGTCACGTGAGAGCTCAGAGTGCAAGCACAGCTCCGCCATCCTCCCCCCGCACAGCCACTATTAAACAGGCTGGGCAGGAAGCGGCCACAGCACAGCCAGCCTGCAGCGTGAGGAGCCATGGCGACCTACGTGCAGCTGAACACTGGAGCCAAGATGCCCATCCTGGGGCTGGGCACCTGGAAGGTAACAGCTTGACAGAAAAGCACTCGTACTGCAGAGCTCCCTGGCACCGACATGGCTTGCTTCTGCTCTGCCTGGCTGCGGGACTGAGCCTGTGTGAGAGAGGAGCTACAGAGTAATGGCAGGAGGAGGGATTTGAGTTTCAGAGCACCCATCTTGCAAAAAAAATAACATCAGGGAGGGTTACTTTCTGTAAGGTAGCTTTCCCATTCTTCTTTTGCTAGGAAACAGGTATTCAAACTGCAGTGATCTGAGCTTTTTAAGAAATTGTTGTTGTTTTCAGTCCACACCAGGACAAGTGACAGCTGCAGTGATGGCTGCAATCGATGCTGGATATCGCCACTTCGATGGTGCCTATGTGTACCGGAATGAGAGGGAGGTTGGGGATGGGATCCAGCAGAAAATCAAGGAAGGCGTTGTGAAACGAGAGGACCTCTTCATTGTCAGTAAGGTAAACATCTGATGTCCTTCCGTCCCAAAGCAGGGGATGGGAAATGCTCTGCCTATGCTGTTTGCGAAGTAGGTAGCTTAGAGTCAAGTTTTACACTGAAGGACAAAGCGATTCCTAACATCCTTCTTGTCATTCCTGATTCGAGCTCATTGCTTCACCGCATGAGGAAGGCAGTGGCCCTGCACCTCATGCCCCTGCTGGAGCTCAGAGACCACCTGCACAGCATGGGCACGGGGGAAGGGGAGCAGGAAAAGAGATGGAGGGCCACGTAGGCAGAAGAAAGTCAGAAATCGGAGACAAACTGCTCTGAGATCACATGTGGTAGTGGGTTGGTACAGCGGCACTACCGGTGTGCTGATGGCACTCTCGTGATGCCAAAGCACAACCAGAACTGACAAGCATTGCAGCGGCAGTGCCTTGGAGCACCACAGTTCTTGCCCCAGCAGTGGGGCTCACACTCGTCTGCTGCACGGGGAACATGAGGTTCTGGGCAGTGTCAGATGCCTTTATTCCCCATGGCTTTCCAAAGAAGATGGAGCATTCCTGTCATCTATGAAACGGCACACAAAGCTTTAACCCAGGAGATCACACTGTGGCTTGGCTTTTTGTCTCCAGCTGTGGTCCACATTTCATGAAAAACATCTGGTGAAGGGAGCCTGCCAGAAAACTCTTGCCGATCTAAAACTGGATTACCTGGATCTCTATCTCCTCCACTGGCCTTTAGGCTTGAAGGTACAGTAAAATGGCAATTCTGTTTACTTGCTTTCTTGGGTGGAATCTTCAGAGCTGCCAGCTATGCTTTCAGTGCCACTGCTGTTCCTGTCCTGAAATACCACATCTCTTTGGACTGTCATTCTGTTCTGCTCTGGCCATATGAGCCAGGCTCTGGAATTCTTCCCGTGAGCACTGTGTGTGCACGGTGTCCCCTTTGATAACAGGATTGTAAAACCTTACACCAAGCTCAGGCCTCTCAGCTGCAACAAGAAGGTATTCTGCTATCCCTCACACAACTACAATGCGTTAATTTCAAATGTAACCTCCACAGAATTCAGTAGAATGTCCTGCCTTTATTGGAACACTTGTTGGCAAGAAGGCCTTGACTTTCCTTGAATTAAAAAGAAGAAATGGTACAGGACTTAATTATCTTACAATGAGAATAAACATGTTTGGTTTTATTTTTTGCATGTACTATTAGCTTTGCTTCCTACACTCCTGTTTGATATCCTCACAATGCTAGCTACCCTAATGGGATTGTGACAAGCATTTTTATTCCACACTCACAGGCAGGAGAGGATCTGTTTCCCACAGATGAGAACGGCATGGTTATACCCAGTAACTCTGACCTTCTACAAACATGGGAGGTAAGTTCAACCACAGAAACAGTCCACTTCTCTCTGTCTTATACAGTCCTTTCCACACTTTCATTGCATTCAACACTCTCCGAAATGTCCTTTCACACATGTACATTTACCTGGGAGGAAATCAAGGAAATACAAGGTAGATGGCTGCATGCTTGGTCATTACTTCCACACTACGGATCCCTGCATGCCTACATCACAGTGAGAGCCAAAATCTCTTTCAGGGAAGCTGCAGACCTTGCAGAAGATGGAAGAAGTTCTCAGCTTGACCATATCAACCATATCTCAGCTTGGTCCAATGCACCACAAGTCCTCAGGCAGTTCTTGTACTGCTCAAACATATTTTGCAGGAATAAAGACATAACAGGTTGTGATATCACCTACAGCCAGGAGCACAACCCTTCAGTGCTTGTACAGCAGCAAATTGTTGAGTAGCATTGTCCTTTTCCTCATGCATTTTTCACAGTGTCAAGGAGTTAGGCTATGAGCTTGGAGCAGCTTGCACCCACATTTCTTCAGCAAGCGTTGCAGATCTGTATAGTTAATTTGTGCTTCTCTTGAAAACAAGGAACCGTGCCACAGAAGAGCATCTTCAAAATCCATCTTCGATACCAGGGGTTGACTTTGTTCCTCTTTCTGCTAGGCCATGGAAGAGCTGGTGGATGCTGGCCTGGTAAAAGCCATTGGCATCTCCAACTTCAACCACGAGCAGATTGAAAGAATCTTGAACAAGCCAGGACTGAAATACAAGCCTGCAAACAACCAGGTAAGATGACGACTGACCCCCCTTATACAGCGTTCATTGACTATAAAGACCTGATGTGTTGAATGGGGATATGGAAAAGGACATCAATGTGAAGAAGGCATTTATTCTGAATCCAGCTCTGTGTGTATTTCTGCATACAAAAAGCACTGACATATTCACCATTTGTCTCTCGATCAGATGGACCAATGTTTGCAAATGCAGACGTAGTTCTTCCAGAAACATTCTTTCTGTTAGGATAAAACATGGCTAAGTTAAACCTCTGCAGACTAACTGTGTAAAAAATTTACATGGTAATAGGTTTACAAGAGAAAATGAAGGACATGTCATCCAAGACATTACCCCGTTTGTGCAAAAGGCAGACTCTAACTGCTTTCATTGCTAACTACTGGCACACAGCAATATCTCAGTGGTTCTGCTACCATCATCCTCTGCATCCTCTTTTGTTTCCAGATTGAATGCCATCCATACCTGACACAGGAGAAGCTGATCAACTACTGTCAATCCAAAGGGATTGCTGTGACAGCATACAGTCCCTTTGGCTCTCCTGACAGACCATGGTAAGATCACCAGCATTTTGCAAGGGAGCTGGCATGAATTTTGCTCGAACTACTCCTTCTAGAACTCCAGTAATCATTATCCATTAGCAAGATGCAGATCTGTTGCAATGCTGGCTGTTCCTATGGAGGTTTTTGCCACTGATCTTCTGTTCTCTGTGTAGGGCTAAGCCAGAGGATCCTTCTCTTCTAGATGACCCCAAGATTAAGGAGATTGCAGCCAAGCACAACAAAACAGCAGCACAGGTATGTGGGAGCTGGATGGTGGGTACTGCTTCCTGTAACACAGTCATTAAAAAAATTACACCTGAGAAGCAGATAAAGCCTAAATCCATTCTCTGCAAGCTGTAGCACTCCTCTGATTTTTCCCTAACAATGCAGATTGTTCCTTCTATGTCCTGCAATATGGCAATTGTTTCTTCTGCCATCAACCAAGAAAAGTTCATTGTTCCATCTGCAGGCATCCTTTCTCACCACAAGTCCTGTTACAGAAAATGAATTGCAGAATTGTAGAACCGATTGTGTTGGAAGAGACTCTTGAAGGTCATTTAGTCCAACCCCTGCACTGAACAGAGACATCTTCAGCTAGGTCAGCCTGGGCCAGCCTGATTGTGAATGCCTCCAAGGACCAGGAATATACCACGCCTCTGAGCAACCACTTCCAGTGCTTCAATACCCTTACTGTAAAAAAAAAATTCTCCCTATACCCAATCAAAATTGCTCACTCTTTTAGTTTGAAATCATTGTGAAGTTTTGCTTAAATTACTGACAGTCCATCTAAGGAAGAAAATAACTGAATGTCCCAAAACCAGATTGGAGAGGAAGTCTCCCATGTGGGGATCCACCACTTAGCCCTTTGCTCTTCAGGAAGCGCTATACAGGCCACAGGACAGGAATGACTCGAAAGGCATCTCTACAAAAGTGGCTGCAGCACAGGCAAACTGCTGTTAAACACACTCAGTTTCTATGGCAACACCTCCACTTGTCTTCTTCTCTCTCATTCAGTGGTCTCTTCCTGCAGGTTCTCCTTCGCTTCCATATCCAGAGAAACGTGATTGTGATCCCCAAGTCTGTCACACCACAGCGCATTGTGGAGAACTTCAAGGTGGGTGATTATGAGTAAGCTGGCATCACTTCTCCCTGCAGAGCAAACAGGGGTCCTTCCTCAGCCTTTCCAAGCCCTTCTCAGAAAAGAACAAGGGACGTTTTCTATCTGCTGGTTTACCTCTACTAAAGGATTATTCTGAGCAGGCTTGCAGGCCAAGATCAGTAACACAGCAGATCAACCTGACATAGAATATACAGTGCTCATAAAGAAGTTACTGTGTTCATTAAAAATGCAGTCCTCTATCTCTTAAGTCAGCAGTCCATGACGTAAAATGGATCTGCTGTCTCTCTTCCTCACGCTACTCCATTTCTTTCAAAGAGGTGATTTCCAGTATTTTCTCTTGTTAGGTCTTTGACTTTGAATTGACTAAAGAAGAAATGGCAACTCTTCTCAGCTTCAACAGAAACTGGAGGATAGCTTTACTGAGCCAGTAAGTGACATCGATTCTTTACTTTCAAGTCTCACCTCTTGAATTATCTCCACGGTGTGGTTTCTGTCAGAGCTGCTAGGTAGCATGAAATTCAATTGACAAAATTTACTAATTCAAATAATAGAAGGTTTGTCCAAAAATGCTTCTCCAACAGACAAGTAAATATACTCATGTTGAAATCAAAGGAACGAAACAGCAGACCACAAATTCATTTTCAATTCATACTTCTAGTACAAAAGATGGGTTCTCGTGGATCATTTTGCTTTTCTCCACATTAGAAAAATTGCGATGCATATCTTCACACATTCTTCCAGCAATTACACAATTCAGATCATGGAGTCACAAAATCACAGAATCACAGACTCAAAGAATGGCTTGGGTTGGGAGGGACCTTAATGATCACCCAGTTCCAAGTCCCTTGCTATTGGCTGGGATGCCAACCACTACATCAGGTTGCCCAAGGCCCCTTAAAATCCCCCTTTTGTGGTTCCTCCATGCACTGAACACACCTCCATCTAACACATGCGTTAGTCATTAAAAGTACTTTCTCTTTTTGATTTCTTTCAGGGCCAGAACACACAAGGAGTACCCTTTCCATGCAGAATACTGATGCTGTTTGTAACCGGGCCTTCTCTAGACCCCTGGTGTTTCATATGCCTCTCCCCTAGCTTTAAGCTCTATATCTAGCTTTCTTACTGCATCTGCCTTGTTGTTGCCAGTGAAGTCAGAGGGCACTTATTCCATTGATTTTGTCTGAGTTTATTCTTTGGATGATGTAAAGAAAACAGTTCAGTAGAATAAATTGTGCGATGTAATAATTTTCTGCTTATCAGAAGAGAGGAGGATTACAGAAGTATCTGGAAGAACTGCTCAGCGGAAAACGAGGACAGTTTGAATTCTTGAACCACTATTCAGCAAATGCCTTCAGTCTTGCATCAATGCAAACCAGAGGCTAATCCACAAGAATTAACAGACATCCACCATTGCATGTGAATTCTCCCATTTTTTAAATACAAGTAACTTTAAAGCGTGAAATTATTACTGGATGAAATGTTAGTGCAGGAATGATGGGTTGAATCATGTTTGTTTAGAAATTAAATGAAATCTCTATAAATTTACCCTTCTTTCTTTCTTTGAGCATTAGCACAGGGGAAGGGAAACAATAAAGTCATGGAGGGCTGTGTAACACAAGATGTCATCCTAACACCAATGTGGTGTTAGGAAGCATCTTTCCTTTATTCCTCATGATACATTCCAAGCAACTTCACAAACAAGTGCTCTCAGAGTTTGGGTTCTACATTTAAACGACATACATGAGCATTACCTGGGGGAACATATTTATTCTTTTCCAAGATCTCATTAGTATATGCTAAAGTCCCTCTGGCCACGCACAGTAGCATCTAAGGTGGTTACATGCCCACTTACATTTTCCCCATTTTTCCACCATAAGCTTCATCACTGAGACTTTTGGTTGACTTCCAGCTTTTTTCCCCCCAATTTGGCAAATTTCCATGCCTTGTTAGGCTATAACTTTCAAAATAATATATGTGAAACTTCAAGGAAAACATCCTTGCACCTAGTTTAATGCAAACATAAGTAGCCTATTAATGACTCCAGGGCTTCCTGTGAAGCAGAATTAAGAGAAAGCAAGACTGTTCACACACCAAGCAAAGCTGAAATGGAAAGTTTTAGAACTAGCACTCATTGATTCCTTTTGCTAAACTAATATATTAGTCCTTAAACTAACATACTGATAGCTATCGCTAAACAAACCAGCCTATATCCACCCCTCCTTTTCTTTTGAGGGTTATGATGTTTATATCTTAATCCTTACTATCTTTGACCTTTACCTTTAGCAACACATTCCCAACACTGAATCATACAACAAACAAGGATACACACAGCTATCTACACCATCCCTACAAGTAACTTGTTAACCAATCCAGTCTGGGAAGCCAGGAATCATTTTGGTTCCAGCTTACATCATCCTGGCTTACTTTATGCAGCATTTCAGCTTGGTGCCATATCTTACATATGTCTGTTTCTATTCTAACATTTTGATTTACATAAAAACAGCAACTAGCATTTACTCATTACTGTGCAATTCGTAGCATATCTAAAGTCATTCTATTTTGCAATACTTCTTTGGCTAAGCTTTGAACTTCTTTAAGGGCAATAAAAGTGCCCACTGTTTCGTTTTCTAGGTGCTTCATAATAGCTGAGATGTTAACTATAGTATTTCGTAATTCTACAGCTTCTAGAGAGGGAATTAACCACCTGATGAATGACTGAAAACAACTAGGCCTTTCTACTAATGGATCATTTACTATCACCTTTGACATTATTATTCAGAAAGTAGAGGTTCAAGTACACCTTGGGGATACTATCTTCCAGCCCTGATCTCCACATAATTATTACCATCCTCTTCCTTCACCTGACACTCATCACATTTTGAACAGTGCAAATACCTGCCTCAATTGGGATATAGATGGCCAGAAATACTAGATCTGTGGTTTTTCTTTCTTTGTGTAATGAAGTGTGAATTTCTCCACTCAAAAAAAAGGAGATTTTTAGATGGGTACAATGTCAGAAACATTGCAAAAATTATCACTACTCACCTTTCCACAAGATAATAAAATTGGGCAAGCTCAGCAGTTCTTTCTCCATTTTCATGAAGAGAAACAAGAAATATCAGGAAGAATGCATTCAGGCCTTGTTTTGCATCATGAATAGTGACTTCATTGCACTCTGCTAGACCATGGAAGAGTTGGTAGATGCTGGTCTGGTAAAAGCCATTGGAACTTCCACCATTAACTGCAAGCAGAATGAAAGAATCCAAAACAAGCCAGGACTGAATTATAACCCTGCAAACAACCAAGTAAGCTGATAAGTAAGCCAATAATTGTGAACCCAGTTGCACTGTTCTCAGGAATTACGAAGATCTGAATAAAGCTGCTAAAGGGTATGAAAAGAGGGAGAACAAAGCGGACACTCCATGTACTCCAAACTCTCCTCACATTCCTCTCTTTGTGTCTGTGCTCCTTTCCATAGCCTCAGAACCAGATTCACTGGGGCTGCCTGGGAAGCCAAAACATATCACCTCAAGCTCCTTATGCTATGGCACTGTCACAATGCGGTTGCTGCTTCTTGGATGTCCTCCTCTCTGCACAGGATCACACACTGTGTACAAACACTAAAATACACCCTTCACTCAATCGTATGAGTTCTGTGCTATTTTTTTGCAAAAGAATGTTCTCTAGCCTGTACTAATAACTGGAAATAATTAGAAGTGAAACCAATAAAGAGGGAACTCCACAGTAAACAAGAAGAAAGACGGTCCTCTTAAGATTCTGAAAAAACTGAGGACCTACTTTAACTTCCCAACTTCACCACGTGCGCTCTGCGGGAATTCAGCAGCAACGCTGGCTCTGGGTCTGGCTTCCCTCTCTCTGGAGTACAGATAAAATCACCACTGGTCAAGAGAATGACTTCTTCCTCTCTATTGCCACTCCATGTGTCACTCATCACTCATCCGCACCAGCACAGGACTGCTCTGCAAGCTGTTTCACACCACGCCTTAGGGCTCCAGTTTGCTGAATCTTTATAGTTCAACCTCTGGCTTTATTAATGCCGAGTCATGGGACAAAGTGCCACTGTAACTCAAACAGGAGGCAACCAACAGGGCAAACTTCAGAAGCGTGTTGCCAATCACTACCAAGACATGTGCCTGCAGCTGTGCACAGGGGCAAGACTCTGCACAAGCACAGATCTGCCAGGGACAGCTACCCTCAACCCCCCTTTTAGAAAAGAACAGACTGGGAAGAAAAGTTCATGGGTTGTGCTGCAGCACACCCTGTGTTGACAAACACTTTTGCCACTATTGATTTCAGATTACACATGAACTTGTGTGAACTGAGATTAAAATGCAGCCTTGTTGCTGGACACGTGAGAACTCCAACACACATGCAGCTCCACCATCCTCCCCCCGCCCAGGGGCAGCACCATCAGGATTAAGCAGGCTGAGCCACAGCAGAGCCAACCTGAGGAGCAGCATGAGGAGCCATGGCGACCTACGTGCAGCTGAACACTGGAGCCAAGATGCCCATCCTGGGGCTGGGCACCTGGAAGGTAACAGCTTGACAGAAAAGCACTCGTACTGCAGAGCTCCCTGGCACCGACATGGCTTGCTTCTGCTCTGCCTGGCTGCGGGACTGAGCCTGTGTGAGAGAGGGGCTATGGAGAAGTGGATGGAGGTGGGCCTCCAGTTCTGGAGCACTGCTCTTGGGAAATAAATAAATCACAGACGATTACTTTCTATAAGGTGGTGTTCTCATTTTTGTTTTTCCACCAATTCAGGATTAGCCTTGACGTACCTGAAATAGTCTGGCAATTGGACTCAGTGTTCTTTGTAGGACCCTTCCAACTGGAACTATTCTACTCGAGTTGTCATCACATGATCCTTGCCACAGGTACGTAATTCTTTGAAGCCTCCCCCCAAAAAAGTCAGGCTCAGGAAAAAAAGAGCACTCTGGTGTTTTGTCTTCTTACTGAAGAAGCCTTGTTACTGTCCAAACAGCTGAACTTGCCAAGCTTTCACAGACTTGTAGAGCACACGCTGTTGATGCCACCAACTCACCCTGGCACCACTCCAGTACAAAATCTGATTGCTTCTGGCAGTTCCTACCCCAAGAGGTAATTCCTTGTTTCTGAGAATGGTAATGCCGGTGCTAACATAGTCCCTCCCAATAGACGCGCGCTATGCAGAGGCAAGACTCCGTCACACACGTCCTGCTCTGCCCATTCCACCAGCACACAGCGGCACCGCGCAGGAAGGCGGAGCTCCCCGCTCCGGGGCGGGGCGGCAGGAGGCAGCGCCCACAGGGGGGCCGGGCTTAAAGGCCTCGGCCAGAGGAGGCTGCTTTCGTCTTGAGCATGGCGACCTGTCTGCGCCTGGGCACTGCGGCCAGAATCCCTACGGTGGGGTTGGGCACCTGGAAGGTAATGGGACTCCCGCGGCTTGCAGCGCCCGTCAGTGGCGGCTCTGTGTCGCCCGTTCTGGGTCCGGGTCGCTGAGCCGCCTCCGCCGAGCTAAAGCCTTCCTGGCCGGCTGCTGCTGCGGTCTCTGGGCAGCAGCGGTGGAAGGGCTACGAACTGGCTCTGCTGGGGAAAGCTGGGACCCGCTCGGGAACAGCAGGTGGATGGCTGGAGCAGGCTCTGGCCCTGGTGCCTCTGCATGCTGTGTGCACAGGCTTAAAATAAATGTTTTGGAAGAAGTTTCTCTACCTACTTCAGAAACAGTCTGCAAGGGTCCCAAACCATAATGTATTGTGCCCTTATCTTGCCCAGGCTCCACCGGGTAAGGTGGAATCTGCAGTGATGGCTGCAATCGATGCTGGGTATCGCCACTTTGACTGTGCCTATGTGTACCAGAACGAGAAGGAGGTTGGGGATGGGATCGGGCAGAAAATCAAGGAAGGCGTTGTGAAACGAGAGGACCTCTTCATTGTCAGTAAGGTAAATGTCCAATGGCCTTGGGTAGAGACTGCCACACTTGCCCAGTGATGTTGCTGTAGGAAAAAAAAACAACCTAAAACTTGAAGCATTCTTATGCAATGTTATGGTGAAACTCCTAGTGCAAATGAAGTGACTCTTGGTACTCTTCTTGTTTCATTCCCATAACCACAATGATATAGTTTATACCTCTCAGATGTTGACTGCTATTGATTCTGTTGTTGTAGCTATTGGATAGGAATGTGAGTTCTTTGAGGTCAGAGCAGAGAAAAGGATCATAACTGTTGACAGCTTTCTTCCCCAGTTAGCCAGATAATATTGAATGGAGTCAGACTGATTTTTTTATTCCCCTGGAAGCTCAGTAACACCTTGAGCACAACAGCCCTTCTGTATTCTGGCAGTCTTCTGAAGAGAAGCAGAAGTACTGAAAGAAGGGGGGAACATGGCCTTGCACCTCATATTCCTGCTGGAGTAGGAAAAAGAAGAGAAGCATCAAGGCATGTGAAAATCAGTGATGCAGGGCTCTGAGATAACTAACTTGTGGCCAAGAATTGGTACATAGGCACTGGCAGAGTGGTAACTGCACCTTGATGGCAAAAGAGGCAGACTTTGCAGTGGTTGGTGCCTATGGAGCAACTCTGCTTGTTCTGGCAGTGGGGCTTATGCTTCTCTTCTGTGTAAGCAAGATGAGGTTCTGGGCATTTTGGAACAACATAATCTGCTTTGCACACACACTGGATAAGACGTGAGTGTGGGCATTCTTGCTTATTAAAGAAAACGGGGAGTTGATTCATCTGCATGGCTTTTCATACCTTCATGGCATTACCTACTATGTTCAGTGCAGAAGTTCCAGGCAGTCATATCTGACAGGTATCTGTCTTCATTTTTGAAGCCATCTACTGCAAGGGCAGGCCCTCTGTAAAAGGGAGTAGTTAACTGTAAAAGGTGGTGTTAACTGAGCAACAGAGGATTCTTTGTATATGACCCTATTCACGTGCTCTTGCTCTTGCTCTGGTCCAGCTCACAGAGGAAGCTCCATTTTAAGAGCAACAGGTTAGTGTAATTCCACGTTGCCTTCCAAAGAAGGAGTGCTTTTATCTAATGCAGGAGAACACTGGAAAGCTTTAACCCTGGAGGTCATGGTGTGACTTGTCTTTTTGTCTCCAGTTGTGGTGCACATTCTTTGAAAAGCCTCTGGTGAAAGGAGCTTGCCAGAAGACACTTGCCAGCCTGAAACTGGATTACCTGGACCTCTACCTCATGCACTGGCCTTTTGGGTTCAAGGTATGGTAATGTAGATGCACGCGTTTTTTTAATGATCACTGTTTTTGAAGACTTATATGGCTTTACAGCCCAATCATTGCTAGCACAGAGGAATAACCTTGATCTTTATTCTTGAGAATGCTACTTGCATGCCCGTCCTATTATAGGTTGTGACAGACTCAAAACTGGAGGCAGAGCTCCCAGCTGCAAGCAGTAGCTAGGCTCTTCTTCCTCTCTTTTACAAATCCAAAATATGCTTCTCTGAAAATTGTGTTTTGTGGAGAGCTGGCTACATTTTGCTGCCTGACAGCAAAAGAATCACATCTAGAGATTGTTTCTGGTTTCTGTTTCTGCTTTCAATCACTGAGTCCTCAGTTCAGTATAGACTGAGTTAACCTTTGCTGTAGGAGCCTTACTGTTGTTCCACAAAGCCTGCATTGCAAAAGGGGTGACTTCTGTGGAGCTGAAGTCTTTCAGACTGATGTCTGAGTTTGATTATTTCTAGTCTTACCTTCTCCTTCCTGCTACAGTGTGAGTGGTCTCCATCCTACCTCTTGCTTCTGAATTGCTTAACTTCATGTTCTATTTTAGCTTTGTTAACAAAGCCATCAAAGTGAAACTCTCCTTGCAGCAGCAGCGAACTCAGTTGTTAGATGCAGTTTAGTCTTGCTTACTTGATACAGCTTGCTCTCAAAGGCTCTTCTGACTTTCCTGGCATGGTAACAGCATTCTTGAGCTTTGCCATGGATGACCTGCCACAGTACATAATGTCTCTTTTCAACAGATTTGGTTTAGTATTGGCCAGAGCTGTGTGTTACCTTTATCAAAAACTAAGTCCTGTGATGCACTTCTGGGAGGGGGGGGGGGAGGGGGGGGAGGGAGGGGAGAATCAGTTCTTAAGTGTGTGAAAAAAGAATACCATATGAAGTGATACATATGAATTTCTTACCTCAATCTGGATCTGAGTGTTTTCTTTCCCCGTAGATGTTTAGGTGAGTCATTGCTTTGAGGAGCCCAGCAGAAATATCTGCCTTGATGGGCCAGAAATACCTCCAATTACTCATTTCATGCAGGAAGGAAGAAATGACTGTAGAAAGAATTGGTATTCTTGACTGCACCAGAGGTTTAAGCTGTCTTGGTCCTGAGCTGTCACTGTCTTAGACAAACTTCTCAACAGATTTTTTCAAACATTTTCTTTCTTGCTGACAGGCAGGAGAGGACCTGCTTCCCACAGATGACAAAGGCATGTCTATCCCCAGCAATGCTGATATTCTGCAAACGTGGGAGGTAAGCTTAGCCACAGTGACAGTCATGTCTTCTGTCCTGAGCAATGATATTTCAGTAGTTCACAGTGTGGCTCCTGCACAGAGGCAGATTTCTTAAGAAAGAATGTATAGAAGTAAATTCAGATTACTCCCAGGGGAGCTGCAGAACAATCTGAAGTTGAAATAGTTCTTTGCTTGTCCATGACAACTGTACAGTTGTTCTCAAACTACTCAAGTACAAGGATTTTGTAGAAATAAAAGCAATTTAGGCTATAATCTTGCCATCATCCTGGAGCATACCTCTCCAGTGCTGTCACAGTAGTAGATCATAGACTGGTGATAAACTTTTCCTTGTGTAATTCAGCATGAATTTCTCAGCCATAAAAAAGATTTTTGGGCTTGGCTGGAAGACGATGAAAGACAGAGTGCAAAAATCACTAGTACCCACTCTTTCCCAAGAGAGTTAAGTTGGGCAATCCTACCAGTTATTTTCCCTTCATAAGAAGGGAGACAAGGCACATCAGGAAGAATGTGTTCAGGCCCTGTCTTGCATCATGGATAGTAACTTTGCTGCTCTCTCTGTTAGGCCATGGAAGAGCTGGTGGATGCTGGTCTGGTAAAAGCCATTGGCATCTCCAACTTCAACCGTGAGCAGATCGAAAGACTCTTGAACAAGCCAGGACTGAAACACAAGCCTGTAAACAACCAGGTAAGCTGCTAATAGTGAATAGTTTTCAGGAATTGCAATGATCTAATTCCAGTTGCATGAGGATATGGAAAAAGGGGGAACAAAGTGGACTATCGCAGTACGTATTTCAATTCCCACTGTACTGGGTACTAAAAGGACTGAGATAATTTTTCTCACCTTCCTGTAGCACCGTTTACAGATATAGGAATATTTCTTTGTGAAACATTCTTTCTGAGTGATAAAAGAGCATATATGTGAGCTGTGATTGTGTAACCAAGGATTTTTATGAAACTTCTTAGAACAAAATCCAAAATGTATATAAGGACTCAGTATAAAAATTAGTGCCCTACAGAATTATGGGTTTATATTATCCCACTGCCCACATGCAGGCAAAGATGAAGGCAGCCTATAATTAGGAAACTGAAGATTTTGGTGGGGTAGGGCAGGGGAGAAATCTCTGGAGCATTACTGTAGTTCTACAAGTACCTGTGTGCTCCTGTGTTGGCAGATCGAGTGTCACCCATACCTTTCCCAGGAGAAGCTTGTCAACTATTGCCAATCCAAAGGGATCACTGTGACAGCATATTGTCCCCTCGGACGGCCTGATAGGTAATTTATGAACGGGTTAGCATGGCTTAAGTTTTTAACTTTCAGACTAACTGAAAGAGAAATGGTGCAGGTGTGTGTATACACAAATGTGCAGTGGTTAATTACTTCTAGGCAGAAACCTTTTAGAGTGGCTCTTTGCCATTTCTTCTTTCTCTCTGTAGGGCCACACCAGAGGAGCCTGCCATTTTGGATAACCCCAAGATTAAAGAGATCGCAGCAAAGCACAACAAAACCCCAGCACAGGTAGGTGGGCACCAGAAAATAACATCCATTAAGTAAAATATACAGGGCATACACCCTCTATGTGTGTTTACCCAGGTCTGTGTGCTCCCAGTGAACCGTAGTGGGTCTCTGTGATGCTAACAAGCAATATTGCAGGCTGCATAGCAGCCATCCTGCATATGCTGGAAGAAAATCTTTGGCCCTCAGTGAAGATTCTTGAGCCATCTTCAATTGCCATGTCCCCTCTCAGGCCCTGTTGCAGAGAGTGAAAGCTTGCATAAATTACTGATTGTCTGGATGGTAAGAAAGGGAACTCATAATCTCAAAACTGGATGGGAAAGGAGAAAGGAGACTTCATGTGAGGGGCTCTGTCACTTCACCCTTTGCTCTTCAGAAAGCACTATCTAAACCACAAGGACAGGAATAATTTGAAGCTCATATCTATGTAAGTGCCTGTACCCCTCTCTCTCTCTTTCCTTGCAGGTTCTTCTTCGCTTCCAGGTCCAGAGAAATGTGATTGTGATCCCCAAGTCTGTCACACCACAGCGCATTGTAGAGAACTGCAAGGTGAGCGATGACAAGTGACCCTTCCCCTGCAGAGCAAGCAGGGATCCTTCCTCAGCCTTCCCAAGTCATCCTCAGACAAGAGCACAGGCCTTTTTCCATCTGCATTTTTACCTGTACTGAGGGCTAAGTGAAGTCTGAAGTGAAAACTGCAACTGCAGAAGACAGGTTGACAGAGGTCTTGGGTAACATTACCGGTCATCTTTACATTGTCTCCTATTCTGCAGAAAGAAGAATGAATTGGCCCGCAGGGCTGGCTTGGAGCACAAGTGCAGTAGCATGCCAAAGAAGCTTATATAGCGTAAGCAGTGTTAAGAATCCTGATCTTATTCCTCTAACTGCTAAGTTGCTGGTATTTTCCTGATGTTGGACATCAGGCTTTTAGAAGAAACATAAGTATATTGGAATACTGAAATCTTCCAAATCTTTATTTAGAACTGGAAAGAAATGCATCTTCAACAAATAGTGTCTCAGAATGCATCTAAGTACATATGAAGCTTCTTGCAACAGCCAGTACATCTAACTGCGACTTTAGGGCTTTTTGGTTTTTGTTTGTTTAATTCTTTCTGCCATGGGCATCCAAGCATGCTCTCCCTTTTTCCCTCTCCTCCTCCACCTCCCTCCCCCCAACCTCATGAAGCAGTTCGTAACCAGCATGCCTTCCCTTGTGGACTTGCTCTTTTGTGAGCTTTTCTGTCAGTCTGATTTGTTCAATGAGGTGATTTCCAGCTGTTTTTCCTTGTTAGGTGTTTGACTTTGAACTGACTAAAGAAGAGATGGCAACTATTCTCAACCTAAACAGAAACTGGAGAATTTGTGACATGGCCATGTAAGTGACAGCTGTTTCCTTCAAATTCTTAATTTTTCAATACTCTTTACAAGTACTTGTGAGTTCCTAATATAGGAAGGTTCTAGTTAATAACTTTGGTTACGTCCGTATTAGAGAAATGAAGCAATTAGCAAGTTTTAAACTTGCCAATTTAAACTTTTTTTTTCCTTGTTGAGATTATAGTAAACTGGTGTCAGCTTCTGTGGAGCTGGCTAGTGGCAGGCAGAGTAAGCTATCACTTGCAAATGTGCACCATGGAAACACATACCTAGACAAAGCTTTAGTTTGAAGGTCAGTAACTGCCGTCTTGTCAGCATTTATTTTACCTATAATCATTTCTCTTTGTTTTCCTTCAGGTGCAGAAACCACAAGGAGTATCCTTTCAATGCTGAATACTGAAAATAGCTTTATCCTGCAGGCCTGTAGGGTTTAATGAGATTCTACCACTACCTACAGTGATCCACTGTGTACCTTGTACTCTGTATCCATCCTGACAGCAGAGACTTTCTCTAGTAAAACAAAATAATAAAGTTGCTCTGAAGAAAAAAATGCAGACTGTAATAACTGGCTGCGATAGTTCTTTACTCATTAGGTACTTGTCTTTTACTGGCTGAAATGGCAAAACAGACAATTATTCACTTCTAGAATATGACCCAAAGCTTTTTCTTGAAATGAATGTCTGATCTACATGCATAATTGCTTTATTGCAGTCACTTTCTTTACCAGCCTAACCTGAACTGTGACTTGTTTGTATTCTCTCAAAAATAGAGAAGTTTGAATACTAATGGTGTGGAAGCTCTTGTCTAATGTGGAAAAACTGTTGTGTTTAAAAAATATCATCTGAAACAACTGTGCATTTTAAACTATGTCATGGGAGTACTAAGATTTTTATCTTGCTCAAGTGTTTAATACCCAAGTACAATGCACCTTAGTTGATGGAACAAGACAGATGGCAGCAGCAGATGTGGCATACCGTAGTATGGGTTGGTATCAAGAAGCACCAGGAGACCATAACTGGAAGCTGCTAGTTGTAGGCTGTATGGTGCTACTACTGCACCAACTGATTTAGCTAGCAGCCTGTGCTGGCATTTCTCTATGATTAACAGAGGCTGTATGTAGAGGGAAGGCAGTGTTAACTAATATTGAACAGCCACCTTGCACTTTCTACTTTGAAGTGCTGATGCTGGGCTGCTGCCCAAAGCCTGACACACTCAGCTGGCATAAGAGTCATGCTCCCTTCAGGCTGACAGCACAACTAGGATAGGCCTGATTTAACTAATGTTGTGTAAGGGTAAAGCATTCCCTGGAAATGCCTTTCCCTGATGGAGGGGGATGCAGAAAAGGAAGGTGTGTCATTGAGCAGTACTAATGGAGCTAGCAGGTGTTGCAACAGCATAGTATTTCAAGGGTCTTTGGTTGTGACATGCCTTGGACTAATGGATTCAGGGCATACTGAAAGAATTAGAATTTACAAGGGAGTAAGGCATGGCCTTTTGGTTCTATGCCATTTGTCTTTTTATTTATTTTAAAATTTCCACAACTGAAACACCACACATCATACTTTTCCTTTCCAGAGCCATCTGCTTGTAATGGCTATTAATTCCTCTGGGATAATTCCCATCGAGAAAACCACATCGTGCTTTTCCCTACAGCCACTGGAGGGCAGCCATCCCTCAGAAGAGACCTGTAGCAACAGACTCAGCGGTCTCCTGCAGGTTCTCTTTACCTTCCAGATCAAGGGAAATATGATTGTGATCTCAAACTCTGTCATGCCACGGCACTTTGTGGAGAACTTTGAAGTGAGTGTTATGAGTGATCTGGCATCCTACAACCACCAGAGCAAGCAGGGATCCTCTCTCAACTTTCCCAGACTCTCATGGAAAAGGAGTGGCAGATCCTTTCAGTATGCCATACAGTTTGATATTGAAAAATTATTTCGATATGTGATATTAATTCCTCTCTTTCTAGGCGAAAAACTCGCAGAATAGTGCAGAATACTGAAGATGGTCTTACTGTGTCTTCATTTGGAGCTTGGTCTAACGTTCTTTGTATCAATTTATCTTGCTTTCTTACTGCATCTGTCCTCCTGCTACAAACAAAGTCACAGGATACATGTTCAGGGACTGTCTATTATTGTCATTCCTGGAGTTTTTTGCTTGCAAGAAGGACACATGGGTATTTGTTAGAAAAGCAAATTGTGAGCTGTAGTAAGTCCCTGGCCCTGTATGGAATTACTGAGGAAGAAGTAGGGAGAGACTTTGAAACACAAAGTCAGATTTGTACTCACTTTTGTATTGCACCTAGCACAACAGGCTGAAGAGGATGAAAGTCTCTTATGAGGAATATGAAGCAAAGATCGAATTCCTAAGGATAAGAGAGACAACCAAGGATTTCACCACTTCAGAACTGAACACCAAAAGGTGTTCTCTCTCTTTTCCTTTGTGCTGTGCATCTGTTCCCCCCCACCTCTCATGTCGCATTTATCCCTCTCTTATATTTTCCATATGCAGAAAACAAGGATGTATGATGAGCAGCAGGACAATCGGGCTTTTGCCCACATGCCTACGGGTGTAAAAACACGACTGGTGATGGTGGTGCTTGCTGCATACAGTTCCTTCAGCAGCTGCTTCAGATGATTGCTATCCTGGGATTCTACCCTCACGTCCCCCCGTTCAGAACCACCCCGCCCTTCAGCTCTCCGGCCCGCCGCCGTGAGGAGCGCGCTCCCGCCGCGGGCAGCAGAGGGCGGCTGTTCTCCACAGGAGCCGCCCCGGCCTGCCTCGCTCCCGCCGCCTCTTCGGCTTCGGAGCACGGCGTCCGTGCAGACGGCCGCTGTCGCCCTCCTTTATTTCAGTGAGCTACACATCCCCACCCTGTAACAACATTAACTGAGCTCAGCCCCTTCCCCTGTGCTAGGTCTGCGATGAGTTGTCTGTCCCACTCCGCCATCAGCTCCCTGTTCCTACGTAACATCCACAAATCCCAGCACAACAGGTGGGACATGGAGCACTTCAATCCTCCTGGGAGCCCAGCCACGCCACCGGCACCCCAGCACCATCCTTCATCGTGCTGCCAGCCTCACACCGCCGTGTGGCACGCACCCCTCAGCACAAACACGTCCTTGCCCTCCTCCAACTTATCAGGCAGCACCAGAGGGGTGTCACCCAGCCCTCACAGCTTCTGAGCCACACCCTCAGTCATCACAGTTTTTCAGGGTCCTTTCCCCCTCGCTTGACAACATAATCCAGTGGTCCAAACAACTGCAATTATTTCTTCTTCCTCCCATCCTTCTGCAGGCCTATCTCACCCGTGGGACGAGCAGGATTAGTGCTCCACATGGCCCTTCGCTAGCAGATTCCATAGCACTGCTCTCTTGTGCAGGGCAGCGCTTGCAAGCAGCAGAGTCCTAACTGCTCAGAGTTCTGCTCTCTTCTCCCATAGCAAAAGCCATACCCCATGTGCACCAGCTTCCCTGTGCAGGAATGGAATGTTGTTTCTGCATTAGATATTAAGAAGGGGGAACTGATCTGAAGAAGTAGAGCACAATGTATTTGCATTTTGTAACTGCTCTTTAGAAAAAGCTGATGTGAAAAAGTAGAAATAGCATATATGGTAGTAACATGCTTTAGAAATACAGTTGCTGAATTATGTGATTAATTCTTGCTTGCGAAACTGCAATAGTTTTTAGATGTTCCAAATTGTATAGGTATAGTATGATGGACTAGAAAGCGGATTGTAGGGCTATTCTGTTTGGATAAAGGACCCTCAGCAAAAGAAAAACAGACTTAGCAAACACTGAAGAAGCCAGGGCCTCTACACAAGGCTGGATTGCCTTGCTCTGTGGGTAGGTTGGAATGCAACAGGCAGGCATCAAGGTACTCCCCCTATCCTCCTTCTAAGCTTATCTCTATGCAAGGACAAGCAGATGTCCAGAAACAATGACCAAGTGTTGAATGAGCAAGTGTGAGAAGTTAACTAATTAGTGACAGATGCTTAGCTAGCAAAAAATTATGGTTAGCCAGTATGTGTAGTTGAGCATCAGGAAGACTGCAAACCTGAAGTACTCAGCCAATGAGGAGCCAGGGGAGAAAGAGATAAGCGTCGCATAATAGGGCATAAAAGGTGTAACACTGTTTTCTGCACGCTCTCCTGCTTGCAGGAGGCCCACCATTGCAATTGCGAATAAAATCTGCTTGATCAGAGATCCAAATAATTTATCAGGATGGTATATGTCCAACACCAGCACAGCCACAGCTGCCAGAGTCCAGCAGTTCTGTAATTTCACTGTGAGCAAAGAGCTGCTGAGAGTGCACTCACGCTGGGCACACACATGCCCTCTCCTTTCCACAGGTCTACATAATGATTGCAGCTGGTTGTGCCTGAAAGAGCTTTGCTTTTACGTCAGCACAAGACCTATTTCTCCCCCAGGGTGTTGGAGTCCTGTTCTGAGTTGGTCACTCCATGGCCTGATGCACAGTCTGTTGTGCCTGTGGTGTCCCCAGGTCCCTCCTTTGTCTGACTTTGCACACCATTTGTACTTAATCTCTGACCACCTTCACACACCGCCCTGTATTCTCAGACCGAAATCATGGCTCCCTCCAGAGCCCTGGAGTCTCTCCTGTCTGGGAGGCAGCAGAACTGAGAGTTGCATATGCTCTCTAACAACAAGCATCCCTAGCAGAACAGTCTTATCTCAGGGAAATCTTAAACTCACTTATTGCCAATTGTATACAAGCTTCTGATTACTGATTCCAGTACTAAGGAGGGTGGGAAAGAATACCAAAGGAAAAACACGAATGCTCAGTACGTAGCTTTCCTTCCCCTTCCCCATCCTCTCAGCCAAGCACCTACACTCTCCTGCCCTAAGTCTCTGCTTCCCCAACATGCAGTATGAGCTACATCACGGTCCCTCTCATGAGGTGAGGTCAACTCAGGCTGGAGGATAGTTGCCCAAGGCCTTCAATCCATCACCCATCTGTCATGCTGTACCTTAGCACCCCTGTTCCAGCACAACCAGGCTGCTGTGAGACCCCTCCTCCAGTGTGTGAGGATATCTGTATCAAGTCACAATACGGCAGGTCACATCACACCATCCTGCTGGCCAGAGCTCCACCACCTCAAGGGTTTTAGAGCTGCTCTGAACTGGTTCTGAGCAGCCCAGGGCAACTCACAGTCTTGTCCTACCCTGCACCCACGGCATTTCCTCAGCATTTGGCTGGTCACCCACATCTCTTGCAAGCACATGCAGCACCTAGGGTTAACAGGTGAAGACAAAAAGCCTCATTAATTCTGAGCAAACTACAAAGCAACCGCAAATTGCTCCTGGCTCAGAGTTAACTCATTGCAAGGAAGAGGCCAAGCTCTTGTACAGCTAGGTTCGGCTGAGACCCACGGTTCTACAGCCCATCTTAACAACACCCAGAGCTGAAACGAACCACCTCACAAGATAAACACTGTAGAGCTCCAAGCAAGGAAGAAGTTCCCACTGCTATCAGTGAGTTCACTTTTGCTGTGATTCCAGCCTGCTGTCTACATGCTGTCACCTCAGAACACTGGCTTCAGCTGTGTTTGTATCACCAACACACACAGCTGCAGACCCTTACCAGCTGAGGGGGTTGTACCTCATGACCCTGCCACCTCCTTCCTTTTTCTTTGGTCAGTGCTTGTGACCCGTAACTCCAGTTACTTTGGGCCTAGATCTTTACAGATACCAAACACTGCTGTTCTCTGAAGTCACCATCTGTGGTGAAATTACTATCGTTAAATGCAAAGTTAGCAAAACAGA